CTTTGTGGAAACGGAGGCAAGGCACGGGTTCAACAGGGAAGTCTGAAAGACAGGATCTAGTATGCAGACTGGTCAGGGGGACAGAGACTTCTTGGGACCCTCCAAGGATTGGCCAGCATTGCAGCAAGGAGCAGGACAGAGGCTGCTGCTGCTGCTGACAATCCCGATGCGCCACAGAGAATCCTACTTCCTTCTGATGCAGTAAAGAAAAACCAGTGTCCAGGCAATGGCTCGGCTGGAATCCTCCGTGTCTATATCCTGAGCAGGCACATAAGCTAGTGGGACAAGGGCAAAGGTTTGCCACCTTACCACGTAGGTTCTGCCCTCGAGATCTCAGCTCGCAGAGAAGAGCATCAGCTGGGAGTAGAACTGGAGACTGGCTCTACATTCTGGTGAGCCAGAGATGTGCCAAACCTGACCAGGGCTGCCCTCACCGTTAGCAGGGAATGCAGCAGGTGGCACAGGGGATCCCCTTGCAAAAGGCCTCAAGGGACTGAAGGCAGGTGGATGGCAGAATCTAAATTATGAGGATAATTTGGAAGATTGCGACTCGCAACGTAAGAGGAGTAAAGGGCTTGAGTTTATAGCTCTTTCATTTTGTTAAAGGAAGAAAGAAAATGATGAAGGAGTTAACACGTTATGTCAGAAACAATGAACGGGTTGTTCTGGAATTCATAGGTTGGAGACAGTGGCAGGTTATGCTCCAGTGAACGGTGGGTGAGTCTGGGAAAAAAACAATTCACCATTCCAAATGTGTGCACTCCGTGGGAAAGATTATTCCCTAAGGTGGTTTGAGAGAACAGGATGCTGGAACTGAACTGCCGGCTATGTAGGTGCTACCACTGAGGAAAGTTTGTGGCCTGTGCTACCTCCACGGAGACTCCTGGGAAGAGAGCGCCACATCTCATGAAGACCGAAGGGGCCTCAACAATCTCAGCAGGGGGGTGTTTATATACCGTGCCCAGAACTGGGGCCAAAAGGGGAAGCCTGAGGCAACGGGGGGAACTTAACAGATTGCCAGGACACTACCAGGGAGAACCTCCAGTCTTAACCCTGGAGTTCAGAAAGTCACAAGAATCGCTGAACTGTGGAGGCATGACTTTCAAGGCCAAGGCCTGCAGCCTTGAAAAGCTGCAATTTATTCAAGAGAAGCAGGCTCAACAGATGCAAGGAGGGTGTTGCCCTGCACCTCAAGAAAACGTATTTCCTTCTTAATAGATCAGGGGCATGCCATAAACATAATGCATCTGGATCTCAACAAAGCCTCTTAAGATACTCCCCTTCAATAAAATGGTAAAATGTGGGCTAAATGAAACCAGTGTTAGAGGGCCTCACAGTTGGCTGAAGGACCAGCCCCGAAGAGGGCCTGATAACGGCTCTACTTCATTCTGCAGAGAAGTATGGAGTGGAGGGCCCTGGGGCAGTTTGGTGTAATGGTTAAGGCACCAGACTGGAAACTGGGAAACCATTGAGTTCTAGCCCCACCTTAGGTACAAAGCCAGCTGGGTGACTTTGGGCCCATCACACCCTCTCAGCCCTAGGAAGGAGAAGGCCAGGGCAAACCACTTCCAAAAAATGTTGCCAAAAAAATTGCAGGGACTCGTCCAGACAGTTGCCAGGAGTCACAAGTGACTTGAAGGCACCAAAAAGAAAAGATTTAACTGTATATCTTTTTCTTATCTCCTGCCTTTAATTCCTCTGGCTTGCATCTTCTGATTCCCTTGTCTGCACACTGCATAAAGTCGTTGACCCTATGGCAAAGCGGAGACTCTGCAGGCAAGATGCCCCTAGCATCCATTCAACGCCCTGCTTCAGGGACTGATCAGAATGATCATGGGACGGAAAGGTTATCAGCCAATCACATCAGGCAGCAAACTCAGAGAAGGCTCCTGGGAGAAGCTGCCAGGCTAAACAGACCTCCATTTCCACCCAGGGCGGAGGCTCTGACTTTACCAGAGCACCCATCCAAGACAGTTGGAGCTGCAAAGAACTCCACCTGTTTCTGGGTACCTCCACAATTCAAAAGCCCCCGTCTGACAGAAATACCTTGTCATAGGTCCCTTTCTTCAAGATCTTTTCTGGTTTATTGCAGGACTCCGGACTCTTTCTCCCAGATACCTGAAAGGGTTTGGGAGGGAAATCAGAAAGTGAGTGGGAAGAGAACAGGAAAAGGCCAGGAGAACAAAAGCAGTTTGTTTCCCAACTGCCAGATACTCCTCCCTAACCCTGAAAGTGAGCTTAATCCTGCTGTTCTGCTCTCCTTGCAATGGGGAATAAAAAAGGCGATTAGGAACGAGGACCCACCATCACTACCACCGCCACAAAAAGTCACCCTGCAATGTTTCAGGTGCTGAACCGAGGCAGAGATCCTGCCCTGGAAGATGCCCAGGACTCCCATTCACCATCCCTTGAATTCCACCTCAGCCAACCATTTGGCTCCTCCGTGTTTTAGCACAGCCTTCCCTACCCTGACACCTCCACGGGAGCTGCAGAGCTGACCCATTTGGGGGTCCCCTGGCTGGGGAAGGCACCCCAATCTTTGGGCTGGAGGGCTCTTCCTCTGACCTGGCTGCGAGGAGGAGGAGCAGGGTGGACTCCTCCTCTTCCCAAATTAAAGGTAATTCAGCTCGTAAAAACAAGTCAGGAGTGCCCTGGGTCTTCTGGTCCATGTGGTTTTTCATGCACCCCAGTTCCAAAGAACCCCAGTTCCCTATCTAGACAAAGCAGGGCGCTCCCCGTCTCCTCACTGTGGCTCCACCAGAGGGCTGACTTGAGGGCTAGAGGCTGCTGGCTTCACAAAGCGTCCCAGGAAGGGTCCTGACCTTATTGTTAGAGGAGGGCAGTTTCTGTCGGGGAGGAGTTTCTCGACTTGGCAGGCAGGAGTCTGCGCTGTTGTCAGTGTCGCTGTCACTGTGACTGAGTCTGAAGAAGCAAGCGCTGAGAGTTAGGGGAAAAACTGGCAGCCGGGGATGCGGGGGAGAGGTAACGCCCCACCCAAAGTAGGAGAGAAAGCAGGCAGAGGTTATGCTTTAGAGAAAGGGCCCAAGAATTCAATTGTGAGGGTCCTCCTCTCTCGCCTTATTCCTCTTCCTGACCATAAAGACCTGGGCTGCACCAGAAGACCAGAGGCGGCCTAGGAGACCCCAAATGGAGGGCTTTTGCTGCTGCTCTCACCTGGCCTCTCTGCTGATGGGGGTAGACTTGACCGCCACCTCTTCTCCAGAAGAACTGTCATCATCATCCGACTCTTCCGACTGCAGGTCTTCCACCATGGAACGTAGCGGCCCTGGAGGCAGGAAGCCAAGATATCAAAAGGGGGATTTGATAAGGAACTCAAGTCCAGGGTTAAGAGCTGTGTTTCTCAACCCTGGCCACTTGAAGATGGGTGGACTCCAGCTTATAGGATTCCCCAGCCAGCAATGCTGGCTGAGGAATCCTGCAAG